TCTTCTGTCCCAAGAACTCACATCTGTCTCTGAAGATCTCCTGATACAGACATTTTGGATAAGCAGCTTCTCTGTGGAAAGTATTCCTTTGAGGGGTACATCATGAAAATATGGAAAATATGAAAAATATGGAAATAAGCTTGAATTTCACATGCATGAAATAGAGTCTAGAGCTGGAAGGGACCACAAGGGCCATAGTCCAACATCCTACCATGCAGGAATACACAGCTAAAGCACTCTTGAAAGATGCCCATCCAGCCTCTGCTTAAAGACCTTCAAAGATGGAGAGTCCACCACACTGTCTAGGCTAGGGCAATCTGCTACACTTATGATAAAGAGGGTCTTCCCAGTGTTTAGGCAGACTTCAGTTTGAATCCACTGGCTCATGTTCTAGCCTCTGAAGCAGCAGAATACAAGCTGACTTCATCTTTAATTCTACCACCTTTTCTGTAGGAAATTCTCATTGTGTAAAATGTTCCTTTGGAGAAAACACACACTTAGTCCAAAACACACTGCAGAAATCATCCAGTCTGAGAACGCTTTAACTGCCCTGGCTCAGTGCTAGGGAATCCTGGGAACTGTAGTTTATTGTGGCACCAGAGCTCTTTGACGGAGGACTTTATCACACAGGGGAAATCCTGTGCAAAAATGGGGTTTAAAATTGAAAACAACTGGGGGGTTGATTTTCACATGATGTCATTGTTAAGCTGTTGTTAACCCAAATGGAAATTAGTCAAAAGCTACTTCTTTTTACTTTCAGAAAATCCCGAAAGTAAAAAAGGAGTGGCTTTTGACTTCTTTCCATTTGGGTTAACAACAGTTTAACAATGATGTGTGTGAAAATCAACCCACTTTTAAATCCCATTTCTGCATGGGATTTCCCCCATGGGATAAAGTCCAGAAAAGATTAAATGTCTCACAAAACTACATTTCCCAGAATTCCCTAACATTGAACCAGGGCAGTTGAAGTGGTCTCAAACTAGATTATTTCTGCAGTGTGTTTTGGATCCTTGTTTATTTGGTTAGGCAACCTTAGATGATTAACCCCATATATAATGAAACTTAAGGAAATGTCATGTAGAATTTAGGAATTTTTGCAAAATTAAGAACAAACAAAAAAACTTAAGAACAGTAGCCAAAATAACCAAACACTTTTCATTCTGTTCCCACAATTCTGATGTTGTTGTTTTGTGCTTTCAAGTCATTTCCAACTTATGGTGACCCTAAGACAAACTTATCATAGGGTTTTCTTGGCAAGTTTATTCAGAGGGGTTTTGCCAATTGCCATTGCCATCCTCTGGAGCTAAAAGATTGTGAGTCACCCAAGATCACCCAGTGGCTTTTAGATAGTAAACATAATGTTTAATATTGAGACACTGGTCTCCCAGTGTCCTAGTCCAATGCTCAAATCACTACACCACACTGGACCTCATCATTCTGATGAGCAGCAGATACCCCTAGAAAGACAAGACGCAGGACACTTTCCTGGTCATTTTCTCCAGCAAGATACAGAAGCATAATATTTGGTCCTGGAGACAGTAGCTAGCCAACATGAATAAAAAGCAAAAACCATTGCTGCTTGAGAAAGTGTAATTCCAGTGATGGCAAAGACAGTACTAGTAATAACATCAGCTGAAGCAGGAGGGAGTTACAGGATTAAAATGTGAGTTTTCATTCATGTTCTAGTTTGAACTCTGCCACCAATAATCAGTGTTGTGCACTTATTTTACACACACCAGCTTTGTAGCAAAAGTAAAGAATTTGTGTTACCTACCTCAGAATGCTATGATGATAATCCTGGCTCCCTGGCTCATCGTACCACTTCAAAAAATCTAGCTGGCACATTCCCATGGGCAGTTATGCAAGAGATTGTAGATATGCTTGTGAAAGTCTGGGTGTTAGTTATGATTGAGAAGCAGATTGACTTATCCTACCTGCTACTCCAGCTTTTTTGGACCCAGCAGCAGGTTCCCAGTGAAAACACAACACACCTGGGTAAGGCATAGCCTCCTACTTCCACGTTTCACACTCGAGATGAACATCTCTCAGCACTGAGATACACAGACTAGATATCATGGAGTATCAGTAGGTACTAAGCACTGCAGTACAGTTATCATAAGGAGGGTTGAAATAAGACTTATTTACAGTCATGATTCAAAAATGTTTGTTTTGGAGATTATTAGAGAACACCACATATGTTCTAGATTATGTCTCTCTCTCAGCACCAGTCTTTCAATCATGCATTCAACATATGCAATGAATTCAGGAGTTTAAGCAGAGCTTGCAAATGCTAACTCCAGAACTGATGTGTTAAGGTTCAATCCTTAATGAAAATTAAGCAGTTAACATTAAAATATTAAGCAAGAACTATGAAATTAATTCATTCCATTATTCATTAATAAAACCATTAATCATTAAACTCTTTTGCTAATGAACCTACAAAAGTAGCATTTTATAATATTTATGTTGATCTTTACTAAAATAAAATGAATATGGTTAGTGATTACCAATTACAATAATAAATTTTAAATTGGTTGCTGAAAAATTTAATGAATATGGAGTGACAAATGAATTTTCTAAGGCTTTTTATCTAAGGGGGGATGCAGACGGGTGGCCCTGGGCTGCCCTGGGAAGCAGAGGATCGGGGCTACTGCTACCACACACAGTGGCCCCGATTCTCCCGTTTGCCGCCTCTTAAAAGAGCGACAAAATGCCGTTCCTATTAGAGACGGCAAAAGGCAACCCCAAGAGCCTCTGCACGGCTCTTCTCTGCCTCTTCTGGCGTAGCGTGAGGATGCTATGCTGGGAGGACGTCCTGATGCCACGTGCCGTGCATAAGGGCACGTGGCGTCAGGACATCTTCGGGGAGGGGTTGGGACAGCCAGCATGAGGCTGCCCCTCCCCTTCTCTGCCTCCAACATGTCGCAAAGGGCCCATCTGCAGAGGCCCAAAGTCTGGCCTAAAGTGATAATAGGATTTATTATCCTAGAATAAGATCCAACTCTAATGTGCTTCCCCAACTGCATGGTTAACAACACTGCAGGAAGATGGGATGATCTGATGGCCAGAATCCCCCTTGGTGTTTAGTGCCAAGTTGGTGTTTGGTGCCACGTTTGGTGCCAGCGTGGTGTTCGGTGTTGAGCACTGCTCACATAAGAGGAGTAAAGGCAGAGAGAGGCAGAGGAATGCTATGCCTCCCCTTTGTGTGTCCTCTTTGCTGTTCTCACTATGAGCAACCCACCCATCCTCAGTGCAGTGTGAACTAAGCTAGTCTCTTTGGGGCTGAGTATAATTTTCCCCCTTTACCTATTTACCCCCCTAATTTACACTGTATCCAATGGGACTTGTAGAATTGGCTGGGTGGTCCCTAAAACAGGTCTTCACTTGGCAGGTTACAGGGAGAGAATTTATTAGATCAGTGTACACCTTG